GTAGTTTGAACATTCTTTGGCATTGCCTTTCTTTGGGATTGGAATGAAAACTGACCTTTTCCAGTCCTGTGGCCACTGCTGAGTTTTCCAAATTTGCTGGCATATTGAGTGTGTACATAGCTATCCATGGCAGCATCTGTATCTCCTTGCCTGAAATTTTCCCTAACTGCTGGAGTCTGAGCTTCCCTGGTGGCTCAGGAGACCCAGGTTCAACCCCTGGGTTGGGAAATTCCCCTGGAGAAGGGAATGGTAACCCACCCCAGTATTCTTGCCCAGAGAGTGCCTTGGACAGAGGAGCCTGGTGGGCTACAGTCCATGGGATTGTAAAGAGTTGGACACGATTCGCGACTAAAGAAGTTAGAGTTTACTCAGCCACAAACAGTCTAGGGTGAAAATGTCTGAAAGCTTATACCCAACAGCATCTCTCAACTACTGACTGATAAATATATACCCCAACCTCTTCTCCCCTTTTCACTCTGGGCTCATTCTGCAGGGACTTTATGCAGCTCTCAAAAATCTCCAACAGGACTAAGCTGCAGTTATCCACAATGAGAACGTGTTTCATAACATACCCTTTTGTGATTGCCTTCCCTTCCTTGTCTCACTTTTCCATTCCCCAGCCAGTGCTTCTGGGGATCACTTCCCAAATAAACGACTTGCACTTGGATCTTTGTTTCAGGTTATGCTTCTGAGGAAACCTAAATTAATACACTGACACATGTGAATATATTTCTATGAGGTAATGCTTTTTCTATATAACTATGATTCTCCCACTCCAACTCCTTTCCTGTCTTCTCTTCCTATTCTTTATTTTCTCCTTACTCTGGCAATAGTTTAGAAGTTTTACACTCTATTTCTCTTCTTTTTGAGGTTACTTTTATGTTTTTAATATGCTTAGTGAGCACTATCTCCACTTTCCTACAGAATAATGGAAGGGCTTTAGGAAATTTTAAGCTGATCTGTCTTATCATTCAGACCATCACTGAGTAGTTTTAAATTCTACCTTTTTCTTCTTTTTGGCCAGCCTTCGTGGCTTGAGGGATCTTATTTCCCCAATCAGGGATTGAACCCAGGACTTTGACAGTGAACAAGTAGAGTCCCAACCACTGGATCACCAGGGAATTCCCAAATTCTGCCTTCTTTTAATTACTTCTTCTTACTGTAAATTGGACATTACTTTTTAGAAATATGTTTTTTTAATAGTCAATACTTATTTAAATACATTTATGAATTTCTTTGCTGTTTTTCTTGCCTGCATCTGCAGGCAAGAGTGTGCTTTTCTTCTCAAAGTATAACCATTTGTAATTCGTTAGCAACTGTTTGTCAGTAATATACTCTCTCAATATTAAAAAAAGATGTTTTATTTATTTTTGGCTGTGCTGGGTCTTCATTACTGCTCAAGGGCTTTCTCTAGTTGCAGTGAGTGGGAGGTACTGTCTGGTTTTGCTGTGTGGGCTTCTCATTGTGGTGGCTTCTCTTGTTGTAGAGCACAGGCTCTAGGGTGTGTGGGCTTCAGTAGTTGCTGCACATGGGTTTCAATAGTTGTGACTCATGGGCTCAGTAGTTGCAAGGTACAGGCTCTAGAGCCTGGGATCAGTATTTTTGATGTCAGGACCTAGTTGCTCCATGGCATGTGGGATCTTCCTGGACCAGGGATCAAACCCCTGTCCCCTGCATTGGCAGGTGAACTCTTAACCATTGGAAACTAGGAAAGTCCTCACAATATATATTTTTTTAATGTCTTTATTTAACTCTTACTATTGATAATTTCACAATTATCTCACTGATTATTTAGTATAGAATTCTAGATTGACAATTAATTTCCCTAACTTCTGTATACTACTGTCCTTTGATTTTTATATCCAGAGTTTTGATAAGAAATGTGCTGGCAGCCAAATTAACATATATGTGTGTGTGTGTGTGTGTGTGTGTATTAGGCAACCTGACTTTTCTTTTTGGTAGTTTTTAAAGATTATATTCTTATATTTCACATGTTTTTGTATTTTACTAGGGTTTCTTTAATTTTTTTTTAATGTATCCTACTCAGTTGTGAGGATCCCTAACTTCATAATTTCAGCTATTATATCTTAAAATATTACCTTCTCCTATCTCTGTGAATTCTTAATTTGTGATCTTATTATTATATATAATATCATGTCATCTGCAAATAGTAACCGTTTTACTTATTCCTTTTCAATTTAGATTATTTTATTTTCTTTTTTTTCCTAATTGCTCTGGCTAGGATTTCCAATACTGTGTTAAGTAAAAGTGGTGAGAGTGATCATCTTTGTCTTGTTCCTGATCTTAGAGGAACAGTTTTCAGCTTTCAACTATTGAATATGATATTAGCTCTGGGTTTGTCACATGTGGCCTTTATTATGTTGAGATACGTTCTCTCTTATAACATTCTCTTTTATACCCACTTGTTGAGAGCTTTTACCATAAATGGATGTTGAATTCTGTCAAATGCTTTTCTACTTCTATTGAGAAGGTCATATGATTTTTGTCCTTCATTTTGTTAATGTGGTGTATCACTTTGATTGATTTGTGGGTGTTGAATAATTCTTTCATACATGGAGTAAATCCCACTTGATCATGGTGTACGATCCTTTAAATGTATGGTTGAACTTGGTTTGCTGATATTTTGTTGAGGATTTTCACATCTCTATTCATTGGGAATATTGGACTGTAATTGTCTTTTCTTGTGATGTCGTCTAGTTTTGAAGTCAGTAGTGCTGGCCTCATAAAATGAGTTTGGAAGTGTTCCCCCCTCCTCTGTTTTTTTTAAGAGCTTGAGAAGGATTGGTATTAGTTTTATGAATGTTTGGTAGAGTTTACCAGTGAAGTCATCTGGTCTGGACTTTTTTTTTTGTTGGGAGGTTTTTAATTACTGATTCAGTATCTTTATTTTTTAATTGATCTGTTCAGATTTTCTGTTTCTTTGTGATTTGGTCTTGGTTGTTTATGTTTCTAGAAATTTATCCATTTCTTCTAG